GTGCTGTTTTTAAAGCGCTTTATAAATAAAGTTATGGACGGATTCTTCTTTGCTGAAACATTTCGTGTTTTATCCAAAAGTCTTCTCAGTCTGAGGAGCTGCAACAAACTCGGTCTGATAAGCAGCGCCTACTCATAGTGGATCAGCCAGTTTGTGGATGACATCCATAACTACCTGTAGTTGATCACATGTAAAAGTTGATCACATGTAAAAGGAGCCCAACAATAGATGTTAGTGCCCTAATGGCTTCTTGCTATTTACAGAGGGCTGAGTGATACTTTCAGTAACGTTATGCTGTTATTCTCTGTGAATAGCAAGCGGCCGTCAGGGCACTAACAGTCAGTCGTTAGTCTGATGGTCCTCCTTTTGCATGTGAACAGCTAGTTTTGGCTGTCACCAGCCAAGATGTTGAGTTTACATTTGGTGTGGTAGTAGCTGAGATTCATCCCGAACGCTTGTTGAGCTAACGGATCGTGCAAGATCTTTAAGCTTCAGCACACGAGGCAGCGGGCGATAAGCATCCATTTAAAGTTTGTGATGAACTCTCGTCTCTGTGTTCAGGTTGGTACGTGGAAGCCCGCCCATCAATCCAAAGGGATTTACGTGTCATGGGTTCTGCTCATCGTTCTCTGTCTGCTCACCCTGATGAGAGCCGTCTATTGGAGGTGTCTGAGGATCAGCTGCCCCATCTCAAACGTCACGTAGAGGAACTGCGAGGAGGGATGAAGGACGGGAGGAAACCAGCAGATGATCTGAGGGTTGGGTTTCTGAGCGGGTTAAGGAAACTGTCAAACCCAAGAGAACAAGGAGTTTAGGATATTGGACTGAGAACATAAAGAGCTGCTAGCTGTTAAAACGGAGATGCTTTTAGTGCCTTGATGTTTCCATCTGTTGCCTCGTGCTGAACTACGGAGCAGGATTAGTCTCGGGAAGGTTCAACTGTGGCTTCACGAAGCAGCTTTAGTTACATTAACACGCCGCCCGCCTGCTTCAAACGAACGGTGAATCTTTATTTTTAAACTGTCACCAAACTCTAAAGTTTCTGCTTCTCCTTTGTGAGCGTTCAGCGTATTAATCTGACAGAACTGCTTCCTGAGAGGCTTGTTTGGGTTGCGTCATAAAAGATAAATAAAATAAATACTTTTTTTTTTCTGTTTGCATTTGGAGCCGGGACGACTAATCCAGGCAGCGACAGTGAGGCCACACTTTACAAATCTTCAAAATGCCCCGCTATAAGATAAGATAGAACTTTATTGATCCCGCAGGTTCTTGCTTATGCACTAATTAAATCATCTAGTCATAAATTGTCAGATTTAATTATTTAAAGTCCTTTAATAATGATGTGACTGGTTTCAATCAGCCTCACCCTGTTAGTTTTTTCTCTTGTTGCTTTTATTCTGCTGTGAAAACCAAACGTTTGTTTTGGATTATCTTTTGTTTGTAGAATTTGGCTCTAAATCCATAATTTGCGATTCTTATCCAAGCTCCGCCCATTTTCCATAAGGTCTATCCTAAGTCTGCTAATAATCAGCTGTAGCATGACTGAAATCTTGACTGTCAGGATTTGCTGAACTTAGATTTGTTGAATCTGCTTCATAGTCCAGAATAAACTCCTCTGAAGGATTATTCGGGCGCAGCAAAGAGATCGAATCTCTTCGTGTTTAAACTCGTGACTCGTTACGTCCAACAAAGGATTAAATCGTAAAGTAATGTAGTGAGGGCTCTGCAGCTGCAGTGCACTGGTTGAAACCGTTGCAATTTAGGGATTTTATTAAAATATGATGAACGAATACCTTCTCTATGGGTCCCTTGAAGGAAATATAAAATATAATCCTAATGAGCAAACGTTTTTAAGCAGTGCAAACAACTAGTGATAATTTTGAGCAGAAAAGTTCTACATTTTAGCTACTTTGTGCTAACAAAAGTGTTTTCAATACAAACTGGGAAATCCAATGTCCAAATAAGGTTTTAAGTTTACTCTTTCAAACGACATCAAGAAATCCTCATTAGAATATGATAAAAACGGGATTAAGGCCTATTTTCCAGGAGTGATTCAGATCAGCCAAGATAAATCCAACCATATCTCTGGAACCGCTCTGCTCGAGCTACGGATCAAAATGTAACAAAAATACAAAAATTAGTTCAGTTTGACCAAAACATGATAAATTCAGGTTTAATGGGATCGGTCACATGTAGCAGGATTGTGCCACAAAATTCTTACTAATTATTAAAAAACAACGGGAACAAGTGAGATTTTGCTGAATTGTCACGTTTCGTTTAGACAAACTGATGTTGAATCTCAAACCAAAACAAAAGAAGAAGAATGGTGATAAAATCATTCAGTTTAGGGATGCACGATATTGGATTTTTGGCCGATTTCCGATATGCCGATATATTAAAACTTATTCGGCCAATAACCGTAGTTAAAAAAAGTTGAGTTAAACAGCCTCCAGTTTATCTTTTATTTTATTTTTGATAACCAAAGAACTGTTTGACATCAGCTGACGTTGTAATTTCGATAAAAAGATTTGGAAATAAAAGTTTTAGTTCGTTCACGGAGCTCTAAAAGCATCTCTGTCCCGTCAAACAGCCTGAATGAACGGATGAGAACGGTGAGGTCGTTGTTTATTTACTGTCAGTTTACTCGTACGTTAAAAGAACTACGATAACTTAAATGTTTTAAGACCAATGAACGGCCTTTGTAGAATAAAATGATCAAGTTTAATCGTGTATATTTAAAATAAATGTAGAAGAGTTGCAGTTTACTGGTGGAGGGTTTGAAGATTGTTTACACAAAGAAACGATGACGAGACTTGAAATAATTATATTTTTTATTAGTTTTGTGGTGTCTGCTGTGTGATCATCTCTTAAGGGTTTTGGGGACATGTAATCTGATTTTCTTTTGTTTTAACACTTGTTTTTTTTAATCTGTTGTCATAATGAGAAAACCTTGAACAATTCATATTTTTCCTTCCATGTTTAAATAGTTTCTCCATTTTGTGTAAGAATCTGTTGAAGCGCACGAGGAGCTCGTACGATGTGGTTCTGTATAACCCCTCTTGTCGTAGACGTCGTGAATCCTAACTTCAGTGTAAATCTTCAGGTGGAGGTGATTTCCTGAACAGAGTGATCTGTTTTGTTGATGACTGTGAACCTTGTTGCACTACATCAAACTGAAGTCCTGCTGTTCGTTTCTGTCTTGGGTCGAGGGTTTTTGTTTATTATTGTGGAACAGAGTAAAACTTTTAACAAATATCAAACGGGTTTTTCCTCTTTATTTTGTTTATGGGGTGTATTTTATTTATATTATTTAGTTTATTTCGTATATTTAGTTATGGCTCCCCTCAGGGCTGTGTGCTGAGCCCCCTCCTGTTCACATGACTGTGCACCCACCCATCCAGGCTGTCATTTTGTAAAGCTTGCAGATGATCCAGCGGTGGTGGGATGCATCACAAACTGATGAGTCCAGCTACAGGCAGGAGGTGGAACACCTGGAGAGCTGGTGCAGGAAGAACAACCTTCACACCTCCAGATGCATGAAGAGGGCCACCTGCATCATGAAGGACCCCACTCACCCAGCACACACACTGTTTGCCCCGCTCCCCTCAGGCAGGAGGTTGAGGAGCATTAAGGTAGAACCACTAGACTGAGGAACAGCTTCTACCCTGAAGCTGTTAGACTCATGAATCCCAAACTTGAAAAAAATCATTCCTCGTTAATTGTAGATCTGACACTTTATCCGTGCTGCTGATTTCTTACCCATCTGCTCAAAACAGACTCATGTTCAGGCTGCTGTTTAAGACATCACATTATATTACATTATTAGTGTTTAGAGTATATTTTAGATCCTTATACTCTGTTTATTTTTATTTATACTTTATATATATTGCCTTTTTTTTTTTTTTGGTGTAACTGGGACCTTAAGTACACGGTTTAGTTCCACCTCATGCACCACATGATGTGAATGACAGTAAAGTCTTGAACCTTGAACAGCCTTCCATATCATCTGTCTTAGAGAAGCTTATTTCTATGCGGCCCTTCTTTTGGTTTTAATATCGTAATTTGGCCCATCCCTGTCCTAGATTGTCCTCATCTGTCCATCCATAAGACCATCCACAGTAAGTTGTCCATGGTGGAACTCAATGTCCTCAGATTACGGCTCCACATATCTTTTTTTTATTAAAACCACCTCCACCAAGGAACTCTTTTGGTTTTGGTCGTCTTACTGGTTCTTTAATAGAACCATTGTTTATTTACATCATCATTTTCAGTCAAGTTGACCTTTGACCCCACCACCATCATGTTTATACCTAAAAGACTCAGATTCAGGATTGTTGTGTGAGAATTCACGCTTTGACGGCTGATGGTTTACCGACAGGTGTCCTGTGTCTGTTGGTGGCGCTCTTGTTTTTGCGCTCGCATAAAATTTCTCTTCTTAAAGTTATATTTTAATACGCTCCTTTGTGTCGTTTGAAACAATTCAGAAAATTAACGATAACAGTCTGACAAAGCTTTGTAAAGTACTGATTAAAAAAACATTAAAACGTAAAACGTGTTTAATATTTGTGATTTGTCATTAGACTCTTTGTGTTTCTGTGAGGACAGAAGTAAAAAAAAGTCTCAGCAGTGAGTTTACGTAACGTTTGTTTCATCAGATAATGTGAAAAAAGAGAATTATAATAAACATTAACTATGAAAAGCTGCTGATTTATCTTTAAAGCTCAAATCAAGCCTTGTTTTCAAGTTATATACATAATTTGTTGGTAACTTTATAAACTTATTTTTATAACCACAAGAGGTCAGCAGACAGAGGGTTTTAAAAAATAAAACCCAACACTTCTCTGGAAGCATGTATAACATTTTTTAATATATTTTGACAAATTCCAGCTGCCTCTCATTAACAACAATGTTGTGAAAGTTTACCTGCCAGAGTTTGTGTTTACCTGTAAGGTTTATTTAATGTCCTGGGATTTCTCTTTTGCTCTTCTTTCAGTTTGTGTTTCCTCAGTCAGATGGCCACGCCCACTCTCACCTGTCTCCAATGAGCGACCTCCTCAGCTGCCTCCACTTTGTCAATTACCTCCCCAGATAGCGAACAGTCTCTGGACGGGATCTGTTCTGGATCTAGCGTATAGGCTCCGGAACGGATCCTCAAAACAGACCCGGATCGGAGTTCTTGCACACCGGAATGGATCCGGAACAGATAAAGCCTCACTGTTCTCTTTAAGTGTTTTTTTTTTCTCCTTTTCAATATTTATTTCTCAGGTTTTTTAATTTTAAGGAAGCCAAGAAAAACCTGTTATGTAGAACATGCTCATAACTTTGTCATTTCAAGTTTGTTCTACTCGATGTGTATAAGACAACCGGCCTCAAATCACAGGACATTAAATAAACCTTACAGGTAAACACAAACTCTGGCAGGTAAACTTTCACAACGTTGTTGTTAATGAGAGGCAGCTGGAATATGTCAACTCACCACTGAGGTGTTTTTTTTAACTTGTCTTCACAGAAACATAAATTCAAAGAGTCTAATGACAGTCAGGTTCAGGTCAACGTGGTATTTTCTTTTGAACACAACATCTGATTAAGGAGTTTATTTTAAAGCTTTGTTAAAAAAACTAACAATAAATGCCGTCAACCTAAATGTTACTTTATAAGTTGTTTTCATAAAATTAAGTTTCATGTTCAAAATCTGGATATTTGTTTTGCACTAAGAC